AGCCGCGGACTCGCGGAGGATTCCACAGCCGCCCGACCTCCTGGACACTTGGGATTCTGTCGCCGCCATCGCCAGGCCGACCCCATATCCTGACACCCATCTGCGACGCCCAGCCGCCCTCCTCACCACACCCGCGCAGCCGGCCCACTTCTGTCCGACATTCCTCGGCAAAGTTATCGATAAAGCATACGGGGGCCGGGGGCGGCGGCGGCGGCGGCGGCGGCCGTGCGCTCAGCACCCGCCGGGCCGGCGGCGGTCTGGACTCCGGGTCAGCGTGCTGCGATCCGCGCCGCGGCCCGCCAGCTTTCTCTTTTATCGCCGGCCCACTACAAAAACAAATGCGCTGTTTGAGATTCTCGTAAAAACGGGCGGCGCCGCCTGGTAAATCTCTTCTGCTTTGCCGGGCTCCGACAAATACCACGGTGGGTGGAGACGGCACTTACTAGAAGCATTTCAGGCACGATTCGTTAAGCTCCTCCCAGACACTGACAAAACGTTTGTTTACACGATGGGGCTCTTCATTTCAGTGTTTTGATCGGGATTGAAGGCAGATCTGCAGCACGCACTCGATAATGCTTGCCATTTATTACATAGCTTTAGATGAGGAGTACACGAATATACATGTTGATATACGGGTGGTCAGCTCGATTAATGCTAATTTAGTCAACACCCCCTAAGCGGGTATATGGCGTAAGTACGGATCATTTGGTGCCCCGTACATGTGCCACACAGTGCTGGCGTGCCCATCAATTGTGTTCAAAAGCCTACAGGCTCGAAATCCGGAACGTTTAACATCACCCTCCGCGTCATGCACAAGGACGAACCGGAACACGCTACTTTTCAACTGTACAGCTCAACAACACGGCGTGTGATGATCACGAGGACTCGAAAATTTGGTACTGCCGGGTGTCGACTGCGGTTTGTTTATTCTGTCAAACTACACGTGCAAGTAACATCGAATGGGAGATAGACAGAATGTGGTGAAACGATATTATTGTCATGGGGCGGGGGGGCAACTGTCTAGCTAAAACAACGAATAATTATTTGGTGAGTGGTGCATCAATATGCCATTTCCGACCATGTTAACGCGGTTCTTCAATCAACAGTCCATCAAAAGTTATTGATAGGACGAAAGAAACGGGATCTTCGTCCGGGCGCAGCCAGTAACGCTCGTTCAAGACTCGGCTGGCTCTTGGATTTGTAAGAGAGAAGCTTGTTCTATTTTTGGAAGCCTTTAGCTCTCATACATGTTGTACAGTGCAGGAATTTTCATATTTCGCAAAGATATGCTGTCTTGAATGAAGCATGTGTACACAGGCATCTCGCGGATGCAAGAAAGTAACTGGCGTTGTGGACAGCGAAGTCACGCAGTTTGCTATCAGCTTTTATACATCGATTGAAGAATGTACTGAATGCTTAAACACGTCAACTTTGCGCTTGCGCTTGCTACCTATTGCTTGTTTGGTTACCTTCGCGTTACCTTGTTTGGTTTCCGATACGCATTACTATTTTTCGGTGCAACAAATATGCTTAAATATTTGGTTCACATAGCTATCACTCATGTTGCATCGATCAGCATACTTAACATTTGCAAGGTACCTCAAAATTTGTGTGACTAGATCAGTACGTCATTTTGTGAGCGAGGCCGTAGACTGAATGTGTCTTGTTTCAATCAGGTACGGGAAAAGGTCAGCTGGGGTGGCATGAACCGGTCGGGCCCCCACACACGTTTCGTCTGACATGGATGTGGTATGCGCCCACTGACCTCAGCCTTGTGTGGCGTTGGGCGACAGACAGCCAAATTGCTTCAGGCCTAGGCCGTGTTATCTTTAAGGTGTTTGCATGCAAGCAGTATGATCAGGTTCGTTCGCTTGCAAGACTATTGCCCTCTATTTGGCGAAGAAAATTGTGTAAGATTGGTAACATGTGGAAAACTGGCGCAAATGAAGACAGGAACGTGGAAACCGGACTCACGCCCAGACAACCCAAGGTCGCAGTGACGCGAAATCAACACGATTTAACCCGGAAAAAGGGGAAGTCGGAACAGCACCAATGTGCTTCAACAGCGTGCAGCACGCCACGTGCAACGCGCGAGCCCTGGAAACACAGGTTTTGACGTGTTTGGGGATTGACGTGAGATTTCGGCAAATCCTTTGTTAAAGACAGAATAGTCAGCTGAACCGTACAGCCGAATAGACCGCTTCTTAAATCAGTTCGACAGCCCAGCACTGCTCGGTCCGTGGGGGCCCCAGTTAACGACCAGGCTTTAAAAAAACGATCATCAGTTTACCCTCGCGGGGTTCAAAACAGATAAGGCAAGTTACGCATTGTGCCGACATGAAGCATGATCATCTGTAACCATCATCCACCTGAAATATTTGCTTTTTAGTCCCTGCTTTGGTCACGATCAGTGTAAAAGTAAATCAGTCGAAATTTGTTAGTTTCGACAGATGGTATGCCAGCCAATGCCAGAGCCAACACTAGTCAATTTTTAAGCAATACCCTTCGTGCGCGTGAACGCTGAATATATTAATGCCTTTGTTTAATCCTGATGAAGCATCTATGTTACCAAAGCATTGACGACACAAAGCGATAGAAGTGTTCCTTAGACGTGTTCCTTGGACGTGAATAGAAGTGTTCCACTCACAAGATGATGAGTCTGTCTTCTCATGCAATCATAAAACTAGTATATAGATAAACATAATATCACATCATAATGGAAATGGCAACTTATTTTCATAGCGGTATGACCAAAATCTTAGGATTGCAGACCGTTGCTAGGACGATATTGTATTAACGCGTAATAATGGGGCGATGAAAAAGAGCTCCATCCACGTCAACGCGCGCGTTCCGAACGCGGTTCGCAACGGTTGAGATGAGACATAAGGGACGCTCATTTGTATTTGTACCCTGAGCTACAAAACACAGCAATTTCCTAATCATATATACAGTCCGTGCGACATCACAGCTGCTGCCACGACAGCGGTTGCGCACAAGTTGTTCCCATTTTTGGGCTGGGCCGGACGCTGGAGTGGCCAGCTGACGCGCGGTACCGGAAGTACGTCAGTTCCGTCGTCACGGCTTGACGTCCGTGACTTCCGAGACATGGTCCAAACGGACCGGCAGCCTGCGTCCAATGTAATAATAACGGACCGATGGTACTGCGCATCGGATGAAGCAAGCTGTGATAGAGTTCAGTCCTCTCTCCTCCCCTCCTCTTCCCCATGTGTCCTTCTCTTCCTCTCTAGAGGATGCATTGGAGTCCAGTCGTCTCTCCTCCTCCCCTTGGCCCCGTCCGTCCTTCTCTTCCTCTCTATATGCTGTAATGGGGTCCATTTCTCTCTCCTCCTCTGCTTCGCCTCATCCGTCCTTCTCTCCCTCCCTTCCTGTCTCTGTCTCCCCACGTTTTCTGTGAAGGTCAAAGAATTACGCCCCCTCCCGATTGGAAGAGAAAAACGAGTTTATGGAGTTCAAGTCCAAGCTGTTCGGATCCTACACAGTTTTGAAGTTGTCAAGATCTGGCAGGTCTCATCGTTTGATGACCGAACGTGAAGAGAGCTTCTGCCTAGTGAAGGTGAAATCAAGGCAGCAGCAGCGTTCGTTCAACTGATTTCAGTCAGCTTCTTCGGCAATAGATTATACATTGCCGACGGAGGCCACGACCATTTCTGTTCGGAAGAAAAGTATTCATAACTAAAAGGTCCGGTTAGTTTTACTCATCAAAGCAGCATGCGTCACATTTCATTTCGTGTGACTATTATCACGTGAAGTCGGTCTGGCGACGATGTCTGATGTCTGTCTGGATGTCTGATGTCTGTCTGGATGTCTGGTGTCCCGACCTGAGGGATGTCGTCCTGGAATGCCCTTCTAAAGCCATGACTTCGAAGGCAGAAGGTTGTCGCCTGGGTTTTATGACTCGTGGAACAGCCTTCTCGTTAGGCTAAGTGTGGCTCACAGAAGAGGACGTTCCCACTTTCGAACAATACTATATGTAATTATTACCAATTAGCAGCGCCCCTAATTCAGGTATTCAGGTTAAAGCAAGCTGTTAGTGTTCTCGTCACCGCAATAATTAACAACGGCCGTGAAAAGCTTTGAATGGAACATCATTTGATCGAGTTTGATGCGAAAGACGATGGATTACTGACCCCTTAATGCGAATTCTACAAATATACGAGCACACGTACAAAGAGGGCTACGAAGGAAGCAAAACGGGCGAAGGTATATCATGGTGGTATATTGGCCAAGAAGCATTGAATTGAACGTAGGATAGCTTAACATAAATCATCTTGGGTCTCGTCAGACAAGACTGGCCCCAAACTGAGCAAGGTGTATCGAGGCGGGCTTATGGAAAAGGTATCTGCCATCTAATCTGGTATCAATAGAGCAAAAACTGAAACAAGAAAAAACGGCGTTAGCGACGAATGACTGTGTAGTGATGGAATTAGCGTTGCTACCGTAAATCGCCGACACGTGCTGTTGAAACGTTAAAAGGGCCTTTTTTAGCCAGATTTGTGAGAGCCAGAAGATAAATTCAAAGGCCACAGTAAGTATTGAAGCTTCTACATTTTAAAATAGTGTACCCCAAGCTCCTAGGCCAATATGTTCGCAACGGCCAAAGCGCGGGCACCAGTACCCGGTCATAGACAGCTCTGAAGCGATGATGACCGGCCGTTCCTTCACTCCCCACACCACTCACGCACGCCCAGGCGCCTTCCTCGAACATCTATCTCGGCTTCACTCACGGCCAGCCGGCGCCGTGCAAGACAAATGAGGGTGATAATAGGAGCGACGCACTAACTGACGCCGTAATCGGGCGCATTATTCCCCACTTAACCCCTGGCCGGGTGCGACGTGTCCGGTGCATGCCATCAGCGCAGCCCAGGTTTCTCTCAGCGGCGCCTCGTGGGCCGTCGTCGTCCCACTTCAGGCGCGCCGCCAGTCGGCTGCCGGACCCGCGCCCGGTCGGCCACTGACACGCCGCTCGTGCGCCCGCGCCGTCCCGCACCCGCCCGGCCAGACAGGCTGACGCGCCCGTGCCGGCGGGAGCCCGCGCCTCCTGCGACGGACCTGGACGGCTGCCGCCTGCAGCGCCGCGGGAGACTGCACCCGAGACGTTAGGCTGAGGTCGCGAGGTGACTGACGTCGGCGTCTCGACCGCAGGGTTGTGCGCGGTGCGACGCTCGAAACGCGTGACTGTCGAGGTGTCAGCTGCGAGTGGCACCACCTCGTCGACCTGAGGCCGGCGACATGTTCAACTTGCACAGCCTAAACGGCGACCGGCTGGAGCGCTACCACGACCTGCACGTGCGGAAGCACCCGCTGCAGGGCCGCTCCTCGCTGCCCATGGATCTATCGGCCATGAAGACGTCCACGTGGACGTACAAGCCGGCCGCGCCGCTACAGCTGATGGCGCCGCCACCGCACCTCGTGGAGAAGCAGATGCGCTTCCGCCCGGAGAAGGCTCACCGTCGACCCGTGCAGCGGCTGCAGTGGCGCAAGAGCAAGTGGCAGCCGGACCCAGACGAGCCCAGCAGCTACCTCGACCTCAACCGTATCAGCTCCATGACTATCGCCGACGTCAGCCCCAAGTTCGCCGTCAAGCGCATCCTGATGCTGTACGAGAACCAGCAGTACCGGGAGGCGGCCAACTTCGTCAACCGTCTGAGCCACGGCACGTTCAAGGTAATCCTGACGGATCTGCCGGTGGACGTGTTCATCGAGTCGATGCCGGACAGCTTGCCGATCCTGGAGGCGCTCTACGCCAAGGTGTTCCTCTCTGACGGGCTCAACTTCTCGGTGAAGACTCTGAAGCCGGATGCGGTGGTCATGCAGATGGTCAAGTTCTTCGCGCAGCAGGAGGACAGTCTGACGGGCAACATCAAGTGGGAGCTGTGCGGCCCCTTCATCGCCTCTTGCAAGAAGCTGCTGAAGGTGATCGTGCACACCGATCCCAAGATCAAGAAGATGTTGGTGTCGCGGCGTAAGGCGCTGGACAAGGCGGTGGAGGGCATGGGCCACCACGGCATGGTGGGCACCTCCGACGGCTCGCTGATGAATCTGCACGACGCGCTGAAGCTCGAGTTCAAGAAGGTGGTGACGTCGTACAAGGCGGCGCTGGAAAAGCTGGAGGAGCTGAGTTTGTCGACGGCGTCCAAGCAGACGCTGTGCCGCAGCATCAGCCACGGCCCGGCGCCGATCCAGGTGTCGCATCAGCGCCAGCTGAGTATCACTCAGCAGGAGATTCAAGAGAGGCTCATCAAGAACAAGACCATCCTGAATGTGGTGGAGCCGATCCTGGGCAACCACAGCCTGGACATCTTCCTTGGCATCTTGCAGCGCCGCATCGACCACGACAAGGACTGCCTCTTCCATTTCACGCAGCTGAAGAAGGAAGTGAAGGACATGAAGGACGCCTCAGTGGTTGTGCCCATCCTGATGCGCTACGGTCACGGCATCGACCAGGTTAGTCAGTCTCGGGGTACGGGCGTGTATATATATATATATATATATATATATATATATATATATATATATATATATATATATGTATATATATATGTGTGTGTGTGTGTGTGTGTGTGTGTGTGTGTGTGTGTGTGTGTGTGTGTGTGTGTGTGTGTGTGTGTGTGTGTGTGTGTGTGTGTGTGTGTGTGTGTGTGTATGCCGGCGTGGCAAAGCTCCCGGAAGGGATATGTTTCAGTGCATTATGTTCTAATCGTGCGGAATGCAGTCGAGCCGTGGGTGTGTGAAATCCGCGGCCAAACACGCCACGTTTCATTCGCCACCTCCGCATACCTCCGTGATAAGGGACGGCACTGTACTTACCGCCCGTAAGAATTGTTTCTAGTTGTTTATCCTTTAAAGGAAAAGCTCGTTTTGCCGAAGATGGCAAGGAACGGTCATAACTTCATAACACCACGTCAAGCTGTCTTCACCTGAGCTGCGCGCCCCCGTGACATCGCCAGCCACGCATCCCGCCGTGCGCGTGGACCACATTCTGACCGCATTCCGCCACATCCGGTGGGGCTTGAGGAGCGGCACGTGACCGGCAGTCGCAGAGGTCAGGGCGGCACGTGACCTGCGGTGGCGCAGGTCAGCGCAGAGGCCTTGCTCGCGGACAGCGGGACCTCCTGTCAGTGGCCGGGCCCCGGCGCGATTCGGCTGGCTGCAGGACAGGCCACGTCCACTTGTGACGGGGAGTCTCGGATTGTTACCCTAAGTGATGCTTTGATCATGCCGGTACTGATGACGACTGGTACTGGATTTGGTCACACCGGTACTGATAATGGCTGGTACCGACTTAGCTTCCCGACTTTACGGAGCATGCATTTAGCCGCCTTTGAGCTGTGGATTCGCCAGGTAGTTACGTTGTATGTGCTACGACTCAGGATAAACAAGATGGCTAGCGTGGCCTGCTGTCAATGGAATTAATGCAGGCAGAAGTTTTGTCGGTTATGGTCATGTGGCATAGGACGTCTGATGGCAGGGGATGTGCCAACTAGACGTTAACTGCGACGGGACAATAGGAACTGAGAAGCGTTGTCCTGCGCCAAATTATTGAACAATTGCGTCAGTAGGAAGAACACCACGTTTTTGTGCTTTCAGCTGTCCATGTGTCTCGTATGTAGATTTTCATTTGGAGTGGCTTGGTTGACTCGCAAACCGCAATTTTCCACAGCTTTAATCGGTTTTGTCGGCATTGCCTATTTGAAAAAATGATCACGGTTATTGTGTACGTTAGGAAGCAGTACATTGTCCACAATTTCGACTGTATTACATACCATCCTCGTTAAATTTGTCTGCGAATTGCACGAAACTTTTCGAATGTCGGGGGCCCTACGAATCTTAGTTGTCGAACAAAAATGTGTAATTATCGTCACATCATCATCGTGCGACCATGAAAGCACTGAAACAGGCTTATTTGTTGTTGATACTCGCAGGCAAAATGCAGACGAGCTTGCTGTAATGACTGGACAGTAATGGCCAATAAAGTTGTGAAGTGCCAAGTGACCCGCCTTACATGCCATAAACCTCACCTATAGTAAAAGTAGGCTGAGTGAAATCAAGCAGCAGAACATTCACCTTGCTTGATCGCCTTGCTGGAATGCAGCGCTCGATGACTCCTCGATAATAATAATTTACTCTCTAGCTTTTCACTGCGATCAATTAAAGTTGCCAACATTGGGTTTCTCTTGTCGCATGAACATATTGACTGTGTCTTACAGTTCGGACTATTCTTGACCACAGTGATGCGCAAATTGAGGTCCAGAATGAACGCCGCGAACATCTTGTTTTGGCTCGTCAATGGATCTGCCGACAGCTCGAGCCCGTTATGATCTCGGTTTATCGGTTTAAGGGTAAAAATTGTACTCTTGCCACAAGTGGTAACAGTGAAGGCTTAGCAGCTCCGAGTGACGTATGTTCTATATATGTCATCAAACACGTCACTTTATTTAGTGGCATTCATGATGCATGCGTGACAGCGTCACTTCCCACGCGTTCGTCTTGAAGTTCACTTTAGAAGCAGCGTCTTCCGATCGAGTGAGCAGATGACGTCACGTCTCTGAGCGCAAGTTTTTTTCTCTCCTCCGCTCGTGACATTGTCCGCCGTCGATCGCCCAGCGGCGGGAGTCGCCATCCTTTGAGACGGCGGCGCCGGGGGCGGCCGGGCGGCGGTGGCGGCCGTGCGGCGCCGGGTGCCGCCCGCCGTGCCGCCGCCTTTGTATTCACGATGACAGACGGGCCGGTGACCCAGTGGCATGTGGGCCACCACGGCCACCCCCGGCCGGAGACAGGGCTATCGGCGCATCGGGTGCCGCCTCTCGCTGCCGGCAGCGGCCGCCGTCACGGCCAGCACGCAGCGGCGACGGCGGACGGCAGAGCTCCCGCTGTCACGCTGCGGGCGCGGTGGGAGGTAGGGGGGGGGATGGAGGGCGAGGACCGTGGAAGGGCAAGGGGTTTGCAGTTCTTTCACGGAGTTGTGCGACACTTAGTTGGCTTTAGTTTTGGTTTTCCTGACTATAAAGCTTTAAGATGAATATGGGCGTAACCACACATTAAACAGCGTTTTAACATTAAACGTGATTCCCACTCACACGCGTGCCGAAAACTTGTTCCCGTTACTTACCTGGATGATGTGGAGAATTTAACATTTCCTAGTTTATGACAACTTTGTTGTAAAAAAATTATCGAGCCTAAGAAAGCTTACTCTAGCTTTTGGAGCGCAGGCGCAACAAATCACCGAGCCCTTGGCGTGTGAAGATAAGTGAAAAACTACTGTGGTCTCATCGGCCCCTCGGCGCCGTTTTGTATAGCCAGAACGTAACGAAAACAGCAAACTGTCAAAAACTTATGCGGTTCGTCTTGCAGCAAGCCCGATGGCTGTGTCTATGCAGGTCAAGATTTCAGTGAAAACGTACAATGAACATTCTGATTGCCACACTGGACTCAATGGAATCGCGGGCCGGAGCTTTCGTTAAGGTGCTGCGTGTCTTCTCTTTGCCTCGCAGGCTTACTTAAGCATCCGTGCCGATACTGGCACGAAACCTTGAACGAGGCCTCACATTTCACCCACCCCAATCGGCATACAATGCAGCCGGCTGTTTTCATCAGCGGCCGCCAAGGGCGCCGCGTGGGTCAAATCGGTCGGTCCCCTGAATGTAAATAGCCAGTATTACCATCGTAATGGGGCGTTTCCCTATTTATTCACGCAGCGTAATGAATTTTGGACACACGCAGTATGAATGGAATGACCTCCCAGGTGGTAAGATGCGTGTATAGTGGGTCAGAGACCCTGGGCGTCAGCTTAAGGAGGTCGGCCACGCAGGAACTCCGAATGTCAATACGTCTAATTGGGACCCGGGTATCATGGAAACGCCGGCTTTTCTGAGGCGTGCCAAGCCTCGGGCCCTCAGCCTTATAAGGATGTATGGTATGTGATAGCTGCTCGCCGCCATCTGAAGCAGTCAGATGACGTTTGAATTACGGTCGGCGGCGGCCAAATGGCTGTCTGGCCGAGTAGTTGGTGCGCTAGCGTGGCAGGCGGCCGCTGGAGCCGGCGCGCAGCCGCGCGGGTTTTCTCTCTCGTTCTCCTTTAGCTGCCGGAGCTCCGTGGGAGAATCTGTGTCAGTGTCCGGCCCTGGCCGCCGCGGCTAATTAAAATTCAGCTCGCATCTCTGCCTCCTTTCCCGCCTCGTCTCTCTCACCCGCTCGCAACACCCTCTCTCTCCTTCATGCTCCCTCACTCTCTACCGCATGTGGAATGCACGCACCCCAGGCGGGGCGGTGTTGATCTGCAGACGGTGTCTGCCTGCTGTGCACAGCTTACGGCAGGACACAGTTGTCAATTCGGCTCGCTCACCAATCGCCGACCCAGTGACAGAGCTACATTGATTGGCCCACCTCTGTCTGCACCCGAGGTCAGGTATGCGTGCTGCACACCTGACTCCGAGCCGTCGGCCGGCCCCCTCACCCGTGCCCCGGACTGCCTGCGCGGAAGCCTGCTACGGCCGGGTGCAGAAGCCTGGCCGGATCAAGAACAGTGACTGACCGCGGTCAGATTTGGGAACCGGACCCGCTCAGAGGCTGGGAGCGAAGCGCGGCCGTAGGCGGAGGCCTGTTCCACTCGGGGGCAGGTGCTGGCGACGCTCAAGGGTAAGAACGTTATTCATTCGGCGCCCAGGACCGGTTCCGTTTTCTGGGGCAGGAGCCTGCTCCTTTCAGGGGCAGCAGCGAGCTCGATTCAGGGACGGGGACTCGCTCCACTCGGTGGCAAGAGTGTCAGGGCTCCAGTCAGGCAAGCGAACTACCTCCGGTCAGCATCAGCACCTAGCTTTGATCGGGGTCGAAGCCCGGCTTCCCTCGGCGGGCAGCCGGCCTCGCTTGTAGGCGGGAGCCGTGGGAGTTATAGGTGGGAGGTGCCTCGTGGCTGTTATACTCAGGGAGGGAACTGCCTCATGGCTGTTACAACTCAGGGAGGGAGCTGCCTCATGCTGTTACACTTAGGGAGGAAGCTGCCTCATGCTGTTACACTCGGGTAGGGAGCTGCCTCATGGCTGTTACAACTCAGGGAGGGAGCTGCCTCATGCTGTTACACTCAGGGAGGGAGCTGCCTCATGGCTGCTACAACTCAGGGAAGGAGCTGCCTCATGCTGTTACACTCAGGGAGGGAGCCGCCTTATGGCTGTTACAACTCAGGGAGGGAGCTGCCTCATGATGTTACACTCAGGGAGGGAGCTGCCTCATGCCGTTACACTCAGGGAGGGAGCTGCCTCATGGCTGCTACAACTCAGGGAGGGAGCTGCCTCATGCTGTTGCACCTCAGCCGCGTCGCCCGCGTTAAATCATATCCAGAATGAGGTCGGCGTAGTTCGGACCTTACAAGCCGGCTCTTAGCCGCCTGAACACGATAATGAATCAGGTCGGTGCGGAGCCGAATTGGTGCCTGCCGATTACACCTCACC